TTAAAGCATTCTCATAAATAATTTGATCTCTTAGGAGGAGATGTACTCCCTACACAGTAAGTAACAGCTTTCTGTAATGGAAAAAAAAAAAAAAAAAAAAAAAAAAAAAAATAAAAATAGCCAATGAAGATCTGTATTTTATTACAAGTGTTTATCAACCATTTATAATTGGTCACAAGGATAGGAAAAAAAAATTAAGGTAATATAAAAAGAGAATGTCTAATCTAAAATAGAGCACCTTCCTGCAAACCGCTTCATCACTGCAAAGCAAACCTACGTCTGCTCTGCTTTGCCGGTCACAAATATCTCCCCAGAGAAATCTCATAGCAAATTGAGAGCCAGAGCACACTGCTCCTCCCAGGAGCTCTCTGCTGCTGCTGCTGGGACAGGAGGAGGATGTGTGGGACAGCCTCTGCCCAGCACTGAGCCAGCAATAAGGCTGCTGCCTGCTCTGAGCCCTCCAGGGTAGTGGGAAAAAGCAACTGCGTACTGCAGGAAAAGAGGAGCTGTGTCTGAGACCACAGCAGGGCCGCATGGCAGGCTTCTCTCTGCAAAGAGGCAGCAATCAGCAAGAACCACGGTCAAACAGAAAGCTCTAAATCACCTGCATGCCCAGCGCTGTTACCGAGGAGGCTTTAACATAGTCTTTTTAACACGAGGATGTTCTTTAAATGGTTTCCTTTTCTCCACGGGGATCAGGAGGGCAACTTTTTATTGTGGAGATAAGCCTGGGTGACCAGCCCCACCACAATGGAGTAATGATTTCAAGCTGACCATAGAATGTTTTCTATTTTTTCGTTTTAAATACAAAGTAAAAGGCTTCTAATACCTTAAAAAAACACCTTCTAAGAAATACTCATTCATTTCTCAATTTCTAACCATTAATCTTAGCAACCCCTGCAGAACAAACGGTGGGCACAGCTTAGCGCTCTAAAAGCGCAGCAAAGAACTGCAAAAACATCTGTTACCCTGAAAGAAAAGCACACACCGTGCCAGCGATGCCAGAGGCCCAACCCTGCAGGAGGAGCTCTGCTCCCTGCAGCTCTGCACAAGGCTGGCCTGCAGTAATGGATCAGTTGGGCCGTGGCAGTGCTGCTCTGCACCCTTCATGGCACAGCTCTGGGCAGGAGCCGGGCTGCTGGCACAGTGGGTGCTGGGGCCACCTCGTGTGAAATTCCAGAGCTCCCGTAGTGCACAAAGCAAAGCCCCCCAGCAGCACGGAGCATCAGGGAGCATCTGCAAAGCACGGCCTTCGCTCAGCCCAGCCCTCCTGCTGAGGAGGAAAGGGCCTCTGAGCGCCTGGTGCAAATGTACACTTTTCTAAGTGCTCATAGCCAGGGGCGCAATTAATTCCATTCTTTCCAAAAGATTTTCAGCTCTGAAAAACTCATGTATTATTTAAGCCTCACAGCTAAACTACCAACGTTACCAACGTCCGTTTTTCTTCTTTACACACAAGATAAAAAGAGTTCTGGTGAAAGACCTATACAGAAAGTCCCCTACAACTTGCAAAACCCACAGGTTCCCTGCACCAAGAGCCCTTTCATTCCTGCAGTGACTTTGATGGCACTCTCTCCATCAGCAGATCTCCAGTCAGTGGCAGCCACTGCTGCGCCTGCTCTCAGGTTCCTACAGCAGCATCAAGGGAGCATGATCAGTGGCCAGCACCTCTGCCAGGCTGTCTTCTTCTGCATCTGCAAGATCCAAGCTTCCTTGGGCGATGATGCCATAGAGAAAGGCTGATCTCCCCTCTCAAGCTTAAAAGCTGATAGTAACTACATAGTAACCCGCTGAAAAATCCTCACACATGAAGACAGATGCCATCAGAGAACCAGAAATAAACCCAAACTGTAATGGCATGACCAGATTTTGCAGAGCAATGGTTATTCTGACTGAGGAAGTGCCACCTTCAGGCACCCAACCCAGTGCAGCCGCTTCACCACCAGCCCACAGCTCACCTCAGGAAACACCCCAAGCAAAAACGGCTCTCAGGGACAAAACAGACTCAGCTGCTCCTCTGAGATCTCACATATTCGACCACTGTAGAAATGTGGACAAAAACAGGGGCAAAGCTTCACTGGTACGAATTGCTGTTGTCTTCCTTGCCCTCCTGAGACCTAAACTAAGGATTTAATGAGCAGGCGCAGTGCAGGAGCCACCATCCGCACAAAGGAGCTTCTCCCTCTCACAGCTGAGGTCCTCCTCCCCTCCTCAGCTCTCAGCCCGAGAGAGACAGCAAGCATGCGGCCAAACAAACTGCAATCATACAACACGATCTGCTCTTTTTAATGGCCAACCAGCCAAACAAACAAAACAAGCGTCTTCAAAGGAATGTGTCCAAATCCTCCACCCTTTGTCACTCAGCAACCATTAAATCTATACAAGCAATAGTGCAGCATAGAAACCAGCTGACCAGCAGCTACTCCTGCCTTGCAGCCAGGCCTGCCTGGCTCACAGCCCCCAGGATGCTGACCTCTCAGGGTCACCCACACGCTCTCAGGAATCTCCGTCTCTTTTCAAACAGAAATAGATTTTCTAGAAATCAGAATTACCACACATTCCAGGTGCTCCAGCTGTCACTCAGCTTTTCTTAAGTTATTACTTCTGTGTATTCAGAGCAGTTTGGGAATGAAGGTTGTCTTGTCACTTCCACGCACTAATGGAACATGGCAATACTTACTCCAGATTTGCCATCTGCTAATAAATGCATACAAACCACGTGATCCCCAGAACGTGGAGCAGCAGAGTAATTGCAATAGATTTCCATTGCAAGATAAATAATCAAAAAAATATCTTTTTTCTTCTGTTTAATGAAAAGCTAGTATTGCACCAAAGGTGAAGACACAGAGTAAATACATATATATATTTAAAAGATTTCTCAGTTGAATACACGCTGCCCAGCTTTAGCTTTTACTAAGAGGCAGCACCTATTAAAAAAAAAAAACAGAACCACAAAACCCTGCCTTCAAATCCCCACCATCTCAGTTATGTAATCAGTCAAACAACAACATGGGACTAAGTTGCTTATCTCTAGCACAAAAGATCCATCTGAGCTCCAGGTCAGGTTGTAACAGGATGAATGTCCCCGCACGCCCTCTCACCCAAGCACCTTGACGTACCTTGGAAGAAAGCAACTATTTTTAGCAGCCATTTCCACATCCAAGAGAAGCTCTGTTACATTCCCCTGTGCTCAGGTCCTCCTCATGGCCTCCCCAGCACAGGCAGGGCAGGATGCAGAAACTCATGACCAGCTGTGCTCACTGCTCCCCACCCAGCAATCACAGCTCACAAACACTCTGACCCAGCTGGGGTTTCCAGGTGTTTGCTGTTAGCCAGTCCCAACAGCAGACCTAACACTGGGAGTGGGTTTGAATAACCCTCCAATAAAAGATAAACACAGCCAACCATGCTTGCGTGTGCAAAAGTGCAAAAACCCTCTGCTAGCAAATAAATCCCAACACTGAAGCACTGTTAATGACAAAGCACTTCCACCTGCAGGCTCACAGCCATGCAGGAAAACCTCCACAACAATTTCACCAGCATTGCACCCTCTCAAGAGCAGAAAAGAATCTGCAAAAAGCCATTCCCTGAGAGGGCAGCCCTCAGTACGTGTAAAGCCAGACTTCAGTTCTGTCGGTTCTGAAGAACAAAATAATCCCCAAGACCATGGACTGACAGGGAGACCGATGTTGGCAGGGAGGCCAACGCCAGTGCTGCTCTCTGGCCCATAAGATGATGTCAGGAGATGAGAACAAAACGTTGCACCACCCCTGCCTTTGGGACATAAAGCGTTGGGACGCGGCGGTGTGTTGGTCTTGCAGGGGCAGGAAACGCCAGCACTGCTGTGGGGACTTGTTTTTTAAACCAATCCAAATGAGATCTTTGAAACCTGATGGTGCCACGTTCTGCAGAACCCGCAGACTCTCCATGGCTGGCAGCACCGTGGCTGCAGCCGGTCGCTCTCAGACTGAGCGCCCTCAGCTCGTTCACCCACGCAGCAGAGCACGTGCCTTGCTGCCAGACCTGCACAAATGCAGTGCCTCTGCTACCACATTGTAACGGGCGATTTCACCCTGCTTGTTGACCTCACAACAGTTTGGGACCCTCGCGCCGCCTCCAACCAGCACTGTGCCCAGCAGCAAACTTCCAGCCATCTCTCACACCGGTAACGGCCACCACCCGTGTGCCCACATCAACCCCAACCTCAGCAGCAGCCAGCAGGCACAGGGGCTGTGACACCCACACCCAGGCTTCCAGCTCCAGCAGCTCCTTTTGGCCAAGACTGTGACTTAGGACACGTTGAGAATCCAGGTAACCTCAGAACAGGTCTGTACCGTTAGCAGCCTCCAGAAATATTAGCAGAACCCACAGCAATAATGAGAAAGAACATTCAGTGTCTTATGTGACTCCACAGTAATTAAGAGACTCATTTTACATTGCATTTTAATTAAAAGTTGGTTTGTTTTTTGTTGGTTTTTTTTTTTTTAAGAACAGCATACTACATATTAATGGAAATATGTAACTTCAGCCTACAAATGGGACTGTCACCATCTTATTCTTACAATTCAAACATATGAAAAATAAAATATGATATTTAGCTATATAAATTCCCCCGCCCTTTTAAATTATTTTTCTTTTAAATAACAAAAGTATTCACTCTTTCCCAGTACAGTGCATTTGCTATCTGCGAGCCACAAACTAGTAGTCACATCGATGCCAAGGAAATAGCAACACTGTTTGCAAAATATTTAGAGAAAATTAAAAGATATTGCATTCAGCCCAGCGCTTACAAAAGAGACAGTCAGCAAGAATTGAAAAACCAGCACATTTTACAGAGGACCATTATAATAACATAGAAAACAGCGCAGAAGACTTATGTTGGAAAAATATAGTGATTCTCAGCAAGCAGAAACTGAACTTTGGCACTTGCTCATAAAAAGGCCTTTCAAAGCAAAACAGAACAGAAATTCACTTATCCACAGCTCGTATATTTGAAAAAATAAAAAAAAAAAAAAAAAAAAAAAAAGAGACAAGGAATAAAGCAAGAGAAACAATAGAGAAAAGTTTACAGGCCAGGTCACTGCAAATTCAGTACATTCACCTACAGAAGATACAAGCACAATCCTTCATCCAACCATCTCTCCTGGGATCCTGGCCAGGGAAAGACAAGCTCTGGGACAGAGCCCCACCTACAGCTTCTCTGCTTCCACGGAGCCACGCTGGCCACAGCCCCATCTTCACATTGAACAAGAATTGCATTTGTCAGATAACGTTGCCTCCTTATCACAAAATAAAGATTTCTGATCTGAGAATTAAGAAGCAAGACTGTTGCACTCAGACAGTGGCTGTTCTGCTCTACTCACAGTTGCACATAATCACTGAAATATAAGGATTAGGTGATTTCTTTAAAAAGGGCTAAAAAAGAATGGCTTCAATTCAAAGGGGAGACAATAGACTGGAAGGAAGGGCTCCCGTTTAGCCTGTTAATCTCAGTGCTTTGTCAGACCACACATTACCAAAAGGAGTACCAAAGTGAACCTGTGCTAGGCTGCTCCCCAGCCCTGCCAGGAGAACTGGTGCCCTGTAGCAGGGCCTGAGCCAAAGGCAGCTCAGCCCAAAGCATGTTTTTGGATCAGGCCATAAGGAAGGAAGGGCTGCTCTAACCAACGAGTGCTTCTCCCATTGTCAGGCCCAGTGCCCCAGAACTAACAGCTTTTTATTATTTTATTTATTCATTTTTGTACTGAGGCCATTTATTCAATTTATTTTTGAGGAGTTACGGAAGGGCAGAGAGAAAAACCAGTGCTTCATATCGCACAGGAGATTGTCCTACTAAAAGGGGGCACTTGATGGGAAACGCTTGCAGCTACAAATCTAGCAGACGCTCTTCACATGTCTCCACAGGCCACTTAGTTGCACCTCCAAACACATCCACGTTGTTATCAACCCAGGGGATGATGTTGCCAGGCATGTTGGTAGAGCAGTTAGCAATATTCATGATGTCTTCAGCTTTTAATACCCTGTCCCATATATTGAACTGGCTCATCTCCCCAACGAAGGCTTGAGTTGCATCAAATCTTCCTCCAACTGTGTCCTTTAGGCACACAAGAATCAGGATTAGATGAGAAGGTTATTTCAGTTATTTTTTTCCACCAAACTTGCAGACCCTCCCACCCACTGCCACCCTGCTAGAAGGAAGAACAGAATTGCACTGAAGAGCACCTTCAAGCTTCTGGAAGGACCACTGTGAACAAGATGTTATTCCGTGAAACAGTTAAAAGCCCCAGTCTGAAATGGTTAGATCAGAGCAAACAGGAGTAACTGCATATCTCCACACAATGGCACAACAGTCACTTGCAGTTAGAGCTACACTTCACTAGCCCTGCCCCCAAGCAGTGCAGCAGGAAGGCAGCTTTAGATACCAAGTCTGACTTAGGATCCATTTTGCAAGCTTGGCACAAGAAAGCTTCAGCAAGAGCTACACTCAAAGCTTTACAGTTAGAGATTAAACTGTAACTGCAGCACTTTGTCAATTGTCCACGGGGACCACAAGATGGGATCTTTGGGTCTGGATACAGAGGCTTCAGCTGGCTGAACCTCGTAACTCCAACTGTTACTGCACAAGCCTGAAGTGTTTGTTTGCTCAACTTGAAGACCAAAATCACACTGACAGAAAACTGACAGCATAGGACAAGGCCAAGCACTGCACAGGAAAGTGGTAAAAGAGAGTTACAGAAAGATTGCCAGCCATTTAATAGTAAGCTGGAGCATCTGCTATGTCAAGTGTGTTAGGATTCTGATTTACCATTCTGTCACTTATGTCATAGATAAAGACCCACTGAAATCAGCACCAGGACAAAATTAATTCTTCACTGTCTTGCCCAGCTGTGAATTTCAAAATCCTGGAGAAATAATATTTTCTGATATGTATTACAAATCAATGTAATACATAACAAACCAAAAAATAGAGAACAATGTGAACAGAGCCATGAATTCATGGGCAATAGATTAAAGAGATGTTAACTAGATGGAAGATTAAAAATCCCTTGCTTTTTTCCATATTCAGAAGTGACTCATCCTCAATTTCCTAATTGTGTTCTGTTGGCAATACTAATATCTGAGCTTTCTTAGCATTTGCATTTGGAGAGTTATTTTCTTTCACCTTTAATGAGAAACCAAATACATGATGTAGAATTCAAAACTTTGACTTCAGATTCATCTTTAAAGTAGATACCAACTTCTAAGTTAGTCATGAATTCCACTATTGTAAAGATATGGTATGTTACGTACCTAAAAGCCATACAATTCAGCCTAGAGGGAATTCTCCCTAGAAAGTGCATCTATAACAGGTCCTGATAAACCCACATACTCTCCAGTTCCCACTCTTGCTGGTCTGCTCATCCCCATAAATTTTCCTTTGTCTAGTCTGAGGCTCTAGCACTAACATCCTGACTATTCTTGGGATAACGAGGAGGTGGAGGGAGAGAAAAATGAACAATCAATCAATCAATTAAGGGGGATGGCCAATTTGGCTTCAATTAAAAAAAAAAAATGGAAGCAAGCATGATCTGCTTCAGGAAGCTCCTTTTAAAATGTTACTTTCTGTAACTTCAGGGGCTACATTGATAGCTGTCAGCAATCCAGCTGAAAGACCTTCATTTAAGGCATTATGCAGCTGCACTCTGCAGCATTTAGAGTGGAAATAATTTCCAACACGAATATTCTGCATATTTATTACTGAAACAAAACTTCAGTGTGATTATACGAAGTTTCTTTCCTTTCATCTTTTAGATAGCACATACACAATCAGACCAATCATTTAACAGTTTTTCCTCACAGCTGTATGTCTGGAGAGTCTTAATTCTCCTTATTTTAATTGGGCCTTTTTCTTTGTTTTTGTTTTTCTTCATTTTTGTTTAAACAAGCCACACACACCAGTGGAACTCAGTCACTCACATACCTGCTCCTGACCCAGGATCAAGACACCTCCAGGTTTAATTGGGTGCCAAGGGGCAAGATTCTCTCCAGTGCCAAGCTTCTCTCCATCCTGAAAAGCCTCCCACATTCCATCTCTTGTTGTCCATGTTATACAGATATGATGCCATTTTCCATCACTAATGAAGAGAGGAAGCTGGGCAACCTACAAAAACAATAATAGTAATAATTCTGAAGAATACTGAATGCTGCAAACCAAGTCTGTCAGTTCAAGCACAACATTTCTAAAAGGCCAGTATCTATCTACCATCTGCACAGGCATAAATGTCAGGAGCAGATGCCAATTCACATTCTCCTACTTTGTCCTAGCAGTCTTGTCTTCAGGAATTTACTTAAATCTCACTGCTTAACTCTAATTTTCCACCCAGTGTCCACACGTTAAGTTTCTCTCCGGGTCTAAGGTTTGTCTGCACCATTTGCAGTAAGAACTCTGACTTACAGAGCGGACTGCTTCCTGTAGAGCTCAGGGAAGCTATTATGCAGGGATTATCTCCCTTAGGGCTTGGAGCTAAAAACCTACCCAAGTCAAAGACACAAATGCAGTGGGCTACAAAGCAGCTGTGATGTGGGAGGGAGAAAAACATAGCAGAACATGAGTACAACCAACATAAGAAAAAACTGGTAAGACGAGCATGCTCACATCTCTTCCAGACGCCATTACAAACAACCTGCTTTTCTTTGTATTGATTTGGGAGGATGGTAGGACTGTTACAAGTCCTTAACTTGCCACATAACTGAACCAGCCGGGTTGCCCTGTAAAGCTGTAAACACCCAATCCCTTGGAGAGCAGTCAGTTACTAGGAAACATAGCGGGCCAAAGAAAACAAGGAATGGTGCCTGAAAGCAAGTTGTGCTACAGTGCAGCCTGGGCAAAGTTAAGAATCAAGTCTCACTCACAGGGATTCCTACCCGGTCACTGCTCCCAGCAGTTACTTACATTTTGTGACAAACCCAAGCTGAGAGTGAGGAAAAAGGGAGTATTTGATTAATTGTCACTTTCTGTATTAAGACAAAGTCTTGAAAAGTTACATTTAAACTGATGTTCAGTCACTAAACATAATAAAACCAGCAACAATGACGTGCCTTTTGTTCTCTGCTTTCTGCCTGTGTAGTCTTAGCATAACTGAACCCGTAGGATTACAAAGATAAAAATACTGCAGTTGGCTTAGATCTCACAGGTGTCACAGTAGTGTGGCTTCAAATACTGCTTCTGTTCCTTAAAAGCAAACAGAGGGTTACAGACACAAGAATCCGAGGCCTGCTGGTAACTCCAGAGGTGCACAGCTCCCTGTCATGCCCACGCGGTGCACAAAGACGTGCACCATTTGACTTTGTTGAGAGCACTTCTGGTCACGACAGATGGGCGACAACAGAAAAGCAGGCACAGCTCTGGAGCTGGCTGCCTCACAGGGAGCCAAGAGTTCTGAGAGTACCAAGGGCTCAGGCCTAGAAACACCAAGTGTTATTCTGAGCACACAGATGAATAAAGGAGCTAATTGATTCTCACCTTATCGTTAATTAGCAGTTCAATCGGATTATTCCCCCACTCTATGAGGACAATTTCATTAGCTTGACCAGGAACAGCATATGAGAACGGAGTGCCAATTCCAGGAGAAGCACTTGATCTCAGCCATAAACATACAGTGAAAGCATACAGCTCTGGCAGAGTCTTCTTGATCTTCCCATACAAGTAGTTGGTGCGAAGAGGAAGGGACACTTTGAACTCATCAGGTGATTTGAACGCACTGTTACCTAGAATGACATTGAGGAAGAAAAGCCTTTAACGCAAGACAAAACAACGTACATGTAATTAAAGTTAGGAAAAAATATGATTAATATTGAGAATCTTTAATCTTACTTTAGAGAGGGTACACAAAAATATATTGAAGCAGTATTAGCAAATGTTGATTCTACAGCACAGTTAAAATACAACTAGATTTTATATGCAATGTGATAATTACTTAGCTTATTTTTCCTGCTTGCTCAGAGCAAAATATCGGATGGCACACAACTAATGAGAAGCTATTAAATATTTTTCTTTCTTCATCACTCAGCTCATGGCTAGAGGCCTTCTTATTTCACACAATTCAAACTGTTTTAAAAGTTATTTATTGCTACTAAACAAGGAATCTGTGGTACACTCATTATTAAAGCATCACAGCATTTCACAACCGAAGCCTCTTTTCCTAATACTCCCACACAGGGAGCCAGCAGCAGTACCCCCATTTTGCAGGTAGCTGGGCTGAGATAACGGGTTGAAGCTCCCATTCTGGACGGCCAGTCTGAAGTAACAAGAATGAACACATTCCATAAAGTAGAGTTACGTTTAGCAGGACAGATTTCCACCCCAGAGACAAAACCTGTTCTGGAGAGCTGAACCAAAACATAAGGCTGAAGTTCAAAGTGACCCAAAGAAAAATGTGACAGGAAGTTGAGAACTGCCAAGACATGGGACACTGACGTAGCTACCTGCAAGTAATGTTTTAGATTTAGATATATTCACGAGAAGAGAGAAATCCCAAATTGTGTCATTAAATAAAACCCTACAGTTCTGCAGTAGAGCATCAACTTCAACCTTTTAGCTACTTGTTCTTCTGATCTTTACCCACATTCCTGAAACAAACGACATCCCCTGCCAAATTTTCACTCCCATCCAAATGAAGAGCTGCTGCCACAAAAGGTTGCTACAATTTTTATATGAAATTTTTAAACTGTTGGCACTCTGTCAGTTCCCATTCTCAGAAGTGGAAGTGTTGTGACTGTATTTTTTCACAAAAAGAGTGGGTGGAAGAAGAAAGAGCTCCTTCTTGAGGAACTTACAGATATACCGAATTTATAAGCAAATAAAAACAGGGTCTTAGGGCCAACGTTCAGCAATCTCCACTAGGATGGCACAGCCTGTCTCATGTATAATAGAAAATGTACTCCATTGAGAGCATTAGTCATTGTCTGGAAGAGCTAAAGGAAGCAATAATAGGTTGGTAAAGAATAAAAGTATAACCAAGATGAACACACACAGCGAAAGACAGTCCTTGCTCTAAAGAATCTCAATTAATGTTGAACAGGAAGGACAACAAACAGTCATTCCATTTTAGAGGGATTTAGATTTAAAACACAGCAAGTGACTTGTCCATGTTTCCAGCAGCATTGCACACCACAGTTCAGGTCAGGCACCATCAGTTGCAGGACCACTCCTCCCCTCAGCCCTTCTTTTTATCGCATCACATGCTGCAGTAGCAGCAAACAACAGGCAAAGAAATGACCAGAAGACTTTGGCAATCATGGCAGCCGTGTGAACCTCGAGCTCCTCTGCCCCACCGATACACAGGACTTCTGTCACAATTACATACAGAAACCCAAAGTTCGTGCAGCCACCTGAGAAGGTCAGTACTTCTCCATTTACCTCACTTCAGGACAGCCGGGAGCTTACGGCACGCTCGTTAGCCGACTGGAACAGATGCTAGAGAGTGTCATTTACAATGAAAGCACAGGAGAAATCCTATTTTTGGGAGACGTCAGATCACAATAAACATTGACTTCGTGCAGTCTACAGATTGATGAAGCTCTTAGATTGTTATTACCCTCACTTTGGTTTGACTGAGGAACCAAAGGCACAGAAGAGCTAAGCAAACTGCAATGTAACAGACAGCAAATTACACAACCAGAAGCAAACTTGTGCCTCGGTTGCTGGCCCCAACACCCCACTTCCCTGGAGGCTTGCAGGAAGACAGCCTTCTCCACGCACAAAAAACAGAGCTGGGAAGGGGCTATTTTTAACCCAAATAAATTACACATCCTTGTTCTCCCACTGCTGCATCTCTCTTTCTGATGACTTACTGATATGAGTCACATCTTTCAGAGACAGGACTAGCAATACTTGCTACATAAGACACTGACAGACTACAGTTCTCCAGAATATCAGTTACGGCGTAGGCCTTACTTCAGCTCTACGGAAAGCGTCAAACGGAGGTCAGTAGAGGAACTCCTCTCCCTCTTTCCTCACCTTCCACACTTTTATTTAAAAACAATAATGCAGTATTATAAAACAGACTCATTAGCCTTCAGTTTTAAATTAATGGGATACGCGTGTTCACATCATTTTGAAAGCATGTCCATTGGGCTGTTTTCAAGCAGACAGCCATTTACCTTGGAAGATCTTTCAAAGATTGGACAGTGATACCTACTGGTACTGCCCACTCTTAGAAAGATAGTTCTGATCTTCAGCTCTTTTCAATGGGCATCTGTAATTCAAATGAATGAATTCTATTCAAGCTTACAGGTCTCAGCAATAATTAATCTAAGTATCACCAAAATGACTGGGATTAAGAGTGTCCTCCAGTGGCACTGTGTATAGTCTACTGTAAACTCCAAGGGCTACCTGGGAACAGGACACAATTCAAGTACTTGCTGTTACTCAGTGGCATAACCAGCAATAAAATTAGAGACTTTATCCCAGCAGCGATACTTCAAAAAGCAACAGGAAATGGTTCTGGAAAAGATGCCATTTATTACATCAAAAGCAGTTGTGCTAATGTAGCCCATACAATTTCCCAATAAAGAAGGGTAGTTCTTAAGAGTGTACTCAGCGTTACCCCAGCATTTATCACACATCGACATCGTACCACTTCCAGTTTTCACTCATCTCCTTAATATGCCTCTATCTCACAAACACTGAGAATTTCATCCTAAACAGCCCCACATGTCAAGGTAAGAGACAGAAAGCCAAAGCCATGCAGTGGCCTGACAAGCAGGAAGCCTGGGATAGAAGGAAGAAGGGAATCTAAGCATTAGTACTGTTACCTAATACCTAGCACCTTAACCAGAAGGCAGCTGTCTTTCCCTCAAGGCACACATTTATACCAGAGTACTAGATGGGGAGAGAAGGCAACGTAAATCAGCGTGGAGAAGAGTCTAGATTCTGTGCAAATTACCTTTTTCTAATTCAGACACCCTTTCTAGCAATGCATTCAAGGCTGTCTCTGTCTTCTGCCGATGGGCCGATGTCTCATTATGAAGCAAAGATTTTTCATCCTCAAGCTCAGCCACCTTGCTCAGCAGCTGGCGTTCCAGGTCTCCAAGCCTCCGCTGCAGCATCTCCCGCAGGTCATTGGGCAGCGCCGCGTACGACACGTTGGCTCTGAGCTGGTGCTTCAGGGGAAAGAAGGAAAAAACATCATTGTTTCTCAAACAGAAAGTTAAATGTGGATACGTTTCTGACTCGGGGGGGAAGGCAGGATCGCTGAGCTCTCCAGCAAGCACAAAAGAGGCATTGCTTTTTAGCGCTTGTCAAGTTCAGTGCTTTTATCAGCAGTGCAACAAAACATGTCCTGAAACAGAAAGGCACTTTTGTAAGAGGTTTCCTGCATTTCATATGAAGGAACCCCTTCGTACCTTCAAGTTAAAAGAAATCAGCGTAGGAGAGCAGGTCTGATGCATTTCCATTAATATGGGTATACATGGCATATTACTCAGTCTTTCCTTTTCTCACTGCGAATGATGTTGCCAAACAGAAAAACTATTATTTAAACTAAAAAGTTAAAGTACTCAAGTTCCCTCAGTTTCAGTTTGCAGAGCATGGAGTCGGATGCTCTTTAGCCCAGCTATAGATACTAAGAGTGAAAGAATTATCCAAACCACAACCCAGAAAACCAACATGTTAAATAGTGCTGGGATCTCAGATAGCCTACAGCTCCACTGCCTCCTACTCCAGCGGTGTTTCCCTTCTGCAGCCCTAAGAACATAACGGCAGCACGAGGCGCCCCGAGAAGCCGGCAGCGTTTCCAGAAGGTCGTTACACAACCACATCGCTCCGAACTGCATGTGACAGTCCGCTGCTCGCACCTCACAGAGTAACGCCAAAGCAGCCGCTCTCCATCCCCCTGGGCATCGGCGAACCCCTGAGGACGGCCGGAGGAGCAGAGCGCCCAGCGCCGCTCCCGTAGGGAATCGATTATTCTCACACGCACCACTCAGCCGCTGCCCGGAGGTCTCGGCAACCCTCCGGAGCAGGTTAGGAGTTCCCCCTTTCGGTCTAGGGCACCAGGCGCGTTCTTTCTATCCAACGTCAGCCCTAAATACATCACCCGTCCCCATGCCAGCCCCGACAGTGTCCCCGTCACCGCACCCCGAGCCCCATCGAGTCACGTCCCCCAAAAGAAGAGGTTTAGGCGCGAGCACGGGAACCGAGGCAGGAAAACCGTGCCCCATCCGCGCCAAACGGATGCACGCGCTGGCGGAGCAGCCCTCAGAGCGGTGCCGAGAAGCAGAGCCCCGCGCAGCGCCCCGGCCGGGAGGAGAGCTCGGAGCCGAGCGGGGCAGCCGTACCTCCAGGCTCTCCAGGCGGTCCTTGAGGGTCTGCATGGTGCGGCTCAGCTGATCGATGACCTGTGCCGGGTCCCGCGGCAGGTCGCCCATCGTGTCCTTGCCCTTCTCCTTCTTCCACGGCCCCTTGCCGTCGGTCACCTCGCAACGGCTCAGCTTACCGGTGAGCTCGCGGATGGCCTCCCGCTGGCTGCCGATGGTCTCCTTCTGCTGCAAGACCGTCTCCCGCAGTTGCAGCACGGTGGCCTTCAGCTCCTCCTCGGGGGCCGGCGAGCCGCCCTGAGCGGGCACGGGGGGCAGCGGGCAGCCGGCGCCGGCGGCGTCCAACGGCAGCGAGGTGCAGACGAAGCGGCTGCCCGGAGGGCTCTCCCGCTCCATCGCCGCCCCTCGGCCGCCCGCGGCCACGACGAGCAGCAGCCCGGCGACTACGGGCAGCATCCCGGCTGCCGCGCGGAGCGACGGCGGGGCGGCGACGGCGGGAAGGGGACAGCAGCCGATCCCGCCGCGCTGCCGGGAGCCGCCCGCCCCGTCCCCTCGCGCTCCTCGCGCGGCTCTCGCGCCGCCGCCGGCCCGCGGCTCTTATAGGCGGGGCGGGCGCGCGGGGGCTCGCGCCGGTTGGCTGCGGCCTCCGCTGACGCCGCCCGGTCCCGAGGCTGAGAGGGGGCACCGAGCGCTCACCGCCCGCCACGAGCCCAGCGGGACGCCGGGAGCGCGGAGCACCGCCGAGCTGCCGGCCCGCGCCGGCTCGGAGCGCGAGCGCGGCGCCGGTCAGAGCGGAGCGGCGCTCGGCTCTTACAATGGGGAGAAAAAGGGACTGAGGCGTTTCAAGAAGGAGCGTCAGAAATTTCCGTGGAGGACCGTAAGAGCGCCGCGGGTTTCGCTCTATCGCTCGTGAATAGTTTGGAGCGTAATTATTTACCATTTCTGCCCACCCAAGGACGTAGCACGCCGCCGGCCGCCAGGGCAGCACGGCTCCCGCACACACGGGCTGCGCTCTGGCCGCCCCCGAGTACGATTTCTCATTTGGGGCAAGTTTACAGGTGGACACTAAGGACATTTTACCACGGAGCAAATAATTACTATATATTACTTGATTAGCGATTAATAAAACCGAGGAATAATATCATAAAAAACCCAGGTGCCCGTGTGAATTACTTGATGTTACAGAGCCTGCAGAGCTGCACGTCAGCCACAGGTACCACACTCGCTCCCTGCAGCCCGGCTGGTCTGCTCACACCCTCCAGCAACACCCTGCATGGAAGCTGCATTACTCAGAGCTGACGGCAGCCAATAAGTCACAGCATGGAGAGATGTGGCTCACATGGCTTACTCAGAGGGAGAGAATACAGAGGATGTGTAACAGGAGACCGGAGGCTCCAATTTCTGCCTGAACTCCTCACTGCACTTCAACTGAATCTTCACACTCCTGATCCAGATTTTTAAGCTCATCTCAAATAGAGGTGTCCCCAAGCAAAGATTTTGGCTCAGTGCTTAACTAATAAAGGCACTGTTCCTTTGGAGTTTCAAGCAGCATATAGACTGCTTAATCAGAGATTGTCCTAATCTCTAATTTAGGCAATCTGAGAAGTAACTCAAACAGCAGCAGGCAATACACAACTGATTTCCAGAGGTCTATACAGTATATGGCAGTAAATTGCTTACAAAAGGTTTTATCCTTTATTACAACACTGCTTTCATGTTGGCAGACAAGGACAGTAAAATGGAAAGAACCACAGCAGATTCAGGAACATCAGTGAGCTGAGATGATGAGCGTGCAGGCAGGGTGGGCAGACACAGAGATGCAGCTCCTCCTCACCTTCAGCAGCCCCACAATTTCTCCCATGGCATTTCATGATCTCAACACCACCCCAATCACCTACTGCTCCTCACTTACTGACTGGGACACCTACAAGTAGTGCAGGTATTAATTTATGAAAACATCCCTTGTCATCATAGCCAGTGTTTTGTTTTTGTTTTTTTTACTGCTGAAGGCCACATCAATCTTCATTTTGAGTGACTAATATGCAGCAGTACATTATCATAAAGCATACCAAAAAAAAAGGAGAAAACCTGTCATCTTAATATATTACAAGCTAAGGAATAAGTAAATTGAATATCTGCTAATTGGAGAGGTTAAAAAAAAAAAGCTGCAAGAATGTTGTTTCTGTTTCCTTACATTCAGGCCCAACATCTCATAGGCACAATGGCCACATTTCCCTGTGGTACAGAAGCTGATTGGGGTAAAGGCAGAAGCACAGGAGAGCAAATAGATACTGCTGCAGTTTAAACTCCCTGGCTCTGGGGCTGTCAGGCAGCCCAGCGTCTCTGCAGCCACAGAATGGATTTTTAATTTTTAACTTAACTTTGACAGTTTCCACTGCCATCAGAAGGGCTTTATTCTCTTTAGATACAGCATTTGCATGCTAGCTGCTAGCAATCTTCGATGCACAACTGTTGTAATTCATACTTGAAATTTAATACGTATGTAACGTGCAGCTGGACTCTCAGTAACAGAAACCTGTGGTGTTCAGGATGCAGGTCTGGAACTCAGCAGATCCGACATAAAACTCTGCTAACACACTTCCATCTGCTATAAGTAAGCCAAATCACTAACACAATCTCACAGAAACTTCCAAATGAATTTGAAGGTGTGCCACATTTTTAAAGGCGCCCTCGGCACATTCAAGGCAGCACTCAGATCACTTCAGATGGCAGACAGGACTCTCGTTTTCTGATACTTTGGTTTTGTTTCGTGCATCATTGCCACATGTTCAGTGGAAATAGCATCCTAGCAACCTCAAAGGCTCTAAGTTCAGCTGAGCCCACACCTTTTTAGATGTGACTTACAAGTTCATGTTTTGTTGTAGTGGAAGTAAGCACCTAACTGCCTAGTGAAATCCTCAGTAACACTAGACGTTCAATCTCTGCTGGTAAGTACCTAAGTGCTAATGCCTTGCCCCAAGGAACTTATGAAGAAATTATCTTTAGTTTCTCTATGACTCTTTGAAAAATACAGTCATCTTTCTCAATATTCGCGGTTTTAAAAATGTAGACTAATTGCTTTTGTCTGCTTTTGTCTGCCTAGCCTGAGAGCAGAAGAGGAGCCCACACTAACCACGCTAGCAGACGATTGTTGTAGCATTCTGCATGCCACCAGCAGTGATCTCAAAGAAATAATTAACAAGCAAATCTGTCCTTTCATCTTGCACATTGTGTCATTAAGAACACTCCTATCAAAAAAGACCGACTTCATTTGTATGAAAACCCCAGCAAAACTGCAGAGCAGTGCACCAGCAATGACAACTGAAGTTATGAACACTGTTCAGCATTCTTCTTAATGTTTGCAGAATAAATCAGAGATACGAACAGAGTCTTTATCTACTTCATCTACTTCTAGCAGCAGAAAAATCTCCTGGCTGGTAGCTGGAGATCTGCCACCAAACTGAATTCAAATCCAACTAAATATCTCTTCAGGGATTTTGCATCAGAAAATAAGGGAGGGGAGGGGGAAACAGCTCATGAACCAGTTACCAGGAGATAAGTACCTGGCTACAGAAGTTACCAGCCACAACACCTCGGGATACTGCAGTGAGAGGATTCTGTTCAACAGACTTCAGATGTTCTTCGTATTCCCATCTTACAAAGCTTTTGTGGATAAAATACAAGCAGAATATTAGAAGAAACCGATCATTATGAGACACACTCTCTTATTCTTTCCATTTCCTAAGCTGTTCTATGAAAATCATAAATGAAAACCGTATTCCCTTTTAACTCAACAGGACTTTTTGCCATTGATCTGAACCAATTCAGCTTTTCTCTAGATCATCTGAACGATGCATTACCTTTCTGAGAATCATTATTAGGACGAGCTTCCTTCTGGCAGAGGGAGAACAGAACTTACCCTAGAGGTGATCGCTGTAAATACTGACTTTGTCAGAGAGATCGCTGCAGGAACTTTCTAAGAACACGAGACACTTAAAAAGATCTCGCTGCCTCTAGCATTCCCCTGTGCTGCTGGTGACAAAGGACAGGCACAGCAGACCTTTCTGGGAACGCACACGAGCTGTCGCACTGCGATACTGATCGCCGACCAGGAGAACAGCGGGTCAGCTTCTGCAGGGCCTGTTATCTTCCTGGTGCTCTGCAGGCATTTAGCCATAAATACCAAGCTCACAAATACATTTCAGCAGTGAAATAGGTTACCCACGTGGAGAGCAAGCATGGAGACCTTCACTGCCCTCTATTACTCAATACTTAAGAACACAGATCCTCCTCAGGTTGAAAGAATTCTGCCCAGTTCAAAGCACAATGCAGAACACATACAGGATTTGGCTAGGGATACGCAGAATATATATAAATAGATCATAAAACCCACATACAGGCAAACATTGAATACTTCCACATGTTCAGAACTACATATCTGTTGTTCAAGGTTCCTCTCAAAGCTGACAGCCTATATTAATTTGATTTTGCAAAATAAGATACAACTGTGAGAAGACTGAGCACTGTGCTCCTGTCAGCACTGAGTGAGATGCTCCTCCTCTCACCTGCCAACAGCAGCAGCTCCAGCAGGGCCTGCAGCCTGCTGCACAGACCTATGGCACATGTTACCAGCTTCACTGCAGGTGTCGCAGTGCTGTGCCCAGGAGCAGGGTAAGTTACCTCCTGTCACATCTCCAAGAGCTGCCATATGGATAATTTTACAGGCTGCTCCTGGGCCTGCCTCGGTGGGTTCCTACAGACAATGAACTTCTGCAAGCCCCTCCAAATCCAATCAGACTGCTAACCTGAAACTGGTCTCCCTGTTGCAGGCACAGAAACTGTGTCCTTTCACCAGGTGCCTCACTGCTATGATGGCATCAGAACACTTTTTTTCTTCCTGTGGTACAGGTGCATGAACAACACATGTCTCTATCAGTCCATATAGCACGTGTGTATCAGATGCAGCAGCACACTCAAAAATGTTAAACATACTTTTGAAGTCATCACACCAGAAATATACACATGGATTCAGAACCAGAATGCACAGAACAGAACGTAACGTACCCACCTGGTGGCAGAGAAAGAAAAGAATACATGAGAGATGAGAGATCTGGGACAAAAGGCAGAACGACTCGCAGTGCCTTTCCATTACAGAACATTAATATAGGAGAAGCTGGGTCTTTCATGTCAGCCAGTTAGCTTTTCAATTCTGTCAGAAGCAGAGTGATAACCTTGAATTCTCTCCACAGGGATTTCCCTCCTCCTCACACAGTTTTGTGTCCAATTCTGAGGCTGACAATTAGAAATGCTATTTTGTCCTGACCCATGTGACATCTGAAATGCCAAAGCACCCGGTGTTCAGAGATGATGTTAAGGCACCTCAATAGGTTTCATCTCAAGTTCTAATGAGTGTGACAAAGTAATGATCCATGGAGTTTCCATAGAGCTTCTGTAGA